GTTGGGGGGGGGGGTGGGAGAGAGAGGAGGAAGGGTTCTCTCCCACCATACCACCTGAGAGCTGAGATGGGCTTTCTGCATGCTCCCATATGTTATTTTGTGTCTCTCTCCCCTCACACCCGCCAAGTGGCATGCCCCACAGTTTGGGGACCTCAACTTCAGAACAATTGTTGGTTTTTATAAGAGTAAAACCGTGCAATCAGTGTGATTTTATTCCTTTTCAGGACTATGAAAATGCTGAAAATTCTTCACCTCCATCAAAGTCAGTGAATAAGAAAGAGAAAAGAAAGAACCAACAGGGAAAAGACAAACCTCTCACAGTGTCTCTGAAAGACTTTCAGTCGGATATAGGTATTCATTCTTATGTAAAGCATGTCTTTACAAACCAGGTGTTCAATTTTATGGAATTACTATTAAGTATACTTTTAATAACAAAACACTCTCTGACCTGAAACTCAGCCTTTCCCAAGTATAAATTCAGTAACACTGTATTTAAATAGAATATTAATTGAACAGTGTTAGAAACAAGTAAACTAAAACACTATTCTGTTGGCTCTAAATCCAAACTAATGTATATATCTTGAATCTTTTCATTATTTTCAATGTGGACTAATAAGTTTAGCACAGGAGAGGAGCAGATGAAAACTGCTGGGTTTTTGAGAAGTACCGAATCTGTTGCACTGACCAGCATCTGGCAGTAGTCCAAACTCACTCCAAATTAAAAACGGTTTACTCACAGCTTGGTTGTACTTGCTGCTTTGCTCTCCTCCTACCCACCCACTAGTGAGGTTCCTCTACTTCTCAAGCAAGGGTAGGACACTAATTCCCTTTGCATACAAAGCTGGCCCTTCAGGGGAGAAAAAGTTAAGCGGGGAGGGAAAGATATAGCAGCTTGTGCGCTCCTTGTAAATTCTTTGGGTGCTAGTTTGTTCCTCTTGTCTTCAGAGCCATGGCTCCTGCCTTTAGCAGAGAAACAAATATTAGAGTATGGAAAGAGAGAGTACTATTGAATAGGGATGTTAAAATGCATGTATTTTTGTAAATGTGTAACTGTTGAATTTTACAGTGGTTATATGTTTACATGCAGGGGGCTAGGTGGGAGTCGGCACTCGCTTAAAAGCCGGCTCCCCACAAGCACCTGCTCACCTTTTTCCCCCTCCCGTCCCTTTCTGCTACCTCTGTGGGAGGTAGCACGTGCTGGGAGTTAGCTTTAAAAAGAGGCAAAGGGGGCTGTTTGTAACCCTTAGGATTAATCAATGAGCCCTGGCTCATCAGTTAATCAGGTCCACATTCACATCCCTACTATTGAATTAAAAGTCTATTGTAGGCACTCGCATAGGTTTCCAGTATTATTAAATAGAATTTGATTTTTAAAAACAAACAACACTTCCCCCCCCCCAAAAAAAACCCCAAAGCATCCACCAAGGATGACAGTCTGAACAAATTATAGATATCAGTCATGTGACCTACTATGCTGCTGGAAGGCACTGAGATACTGTGGTGATTAGGACAATATAAGAACCAAAATAGAATTAAATAGTCTTCAGTTTATGCATTGTAGAAATGTTGCTTGCCATTTACAAACTCTGGCTGCAAATTGGGATCCGCTTTGTGTTGTTTTAAAGGATAGGGTTTAAATACAGTGTAGATACTCAGGTTGAGGCTCCCAAGCTGCAAGTGGATGTGCTTTTTTAACATGTGCTGCAAAGAGCTTCTAGAAACCTGATATTAAAAAACACTGATATAATTAACTAATTGGGATGCTTTTACTGTGGTGTTAATTCATTGAAAGTGGATAACTTTATTAGTTAATTTGCTCTGAGAATAATGTATATAAAATATAGCAATATACTAAGTAACAGTGAATTCATACTACTGTGGCTCATTTGAGTAATGTTTATTGCTAATTTGCTTCTGAACCACTGAGGTCTGAGTATCACTGGTGTAGAGAGTCCTCTTTAATGTGTTCATGTAATTTTGAGAAAAGAGAGTTAATGCTGAAGAACTAAAGTGGATTTTTCAGCTTCTTCTGAATTATCTCACTTGGATAGTTTTTGTGGTATGATTAAATCAGACAATATAGTGTTTAAAAAACATCTATTGTTCTTGTGTTCTTTCAGATCACCTTGCAAAAAAGCATGAGGTAAGACTTATTTTTTACTAATCAACATAACGCAACACCAAAGACCAACTTAAATAATGAGATGAGTACAGGTTGGACCTTCTTGATCCAGCACACTTGGGACTAAAGGTGTTCCAGTGGGACTTCCAGCTGGCCCCAGCCTGCATCCGGAGTTCCGCATTCCTCCTTTGAAATGTACAAGAGCCGCCAAGAGGCTCTTGTACATTTCAAAGGAGGAATGCGGAACTCCGGATGCAGGCTGGGGCCAGCTGGAAGTCCCACTGACTCATGGAGCCTAGGGTCAGCAGGGGACTCTGCCGCGCTGCTTATTTGAAATGCCATGCAGAGCCTGGGGTCAACTGGGGACTCCCTAGCTGACCGCCAATACTGTGCGGCATTTTCAAACCACACAGAGCCCCCAGGCTCCATGCTTGCACTTCCACTTTGAAATGCACATTTCAAATACATTTCAAAGCTGGCACGCCCACAGTCAGCCGGCATCCAATTGTATGGCACTCCTGATAGTCCGGCATCAAAATGGCAAGAGCTAGTGGGTGAGCTTCAGCAAAAAACAAGTTACAAGGCAGCAGCGGCAGCAGCTGAACCTAGCGAAACCAGACAGGACCGAATCAGTCTGCCACTGGCATTGTGTGACGCTGGACAGTGCTTGTGCTATAATAAAAAGGGTTAAAAACACTTAATATACAGTATATAGTGTGTCTCTCTCTCTCTCTCTCTCTATATATATATATATACACACACACAAATACAAAAATCAGTTTATAGTACCTCCCAATAATCCGGCACCACCTAGATCCCAAAGGTTCCGGATTATCGGAAGTCTACTATATTGTGCAATAAATCATTACTAGTATTAAGAGCCTTTTAGGTAGAAAAGGAAATATTTAACATCAAAATGGTTTATAATTCAAAAATCTAGGTGGGCATTGCACAGAAGTATTAAATCAATAGAAATTTTTTCACTTGATACCATTTCTATGAAATGTTATTTTTCAATGTTTTATGGGTGTCAATAAAATATGCTATATATAAAATTTGAACCCTCTGTTCTGTCCTATGATGTGTGTCTGTATATTAAATAAGAAAGTACTTATATATTGTTCATGTTTGTGACTTTAAACACAGACTTATTTAAAACTCAAACTATTTCATTGACAGGAACTGAGCTCTTCACAGATTTTATTGCATGATGGAGGATTCTTCAATAGACTGGAAGATGATGTTCATAAAATACTTACTAGGGAAAAAAGGAGAGACCAGCTCACAGATTACAATGGAGTGGATAATTGCACATCTCATGAACCTAGTCAGGCAAGTATAATGGCAACTATTTACAAGTATGCAGTGAATGTTTGCTTGGTAAAAGAAAATGTGAAGCTTCTGGAGTAGTTGGAACCAAAAACTGCTTATGTTTTCAATTTAAGTTACTTGCTGAAAACACAATTTATGTCTACATTTTTTTGACTACTTCATGTAAAAATGGGTATAAAACAGGGTATAGCTTAAGAAAAAACAAAAGGCAAATAACTCAATTGAGAGAGCCTTGTCAGAAGAGGAGATGAGGAAAAGAGGAAGTAATGGCAAAGACCCATTTCTCTTTTTTGCTTTTTTCCAGTAGCATAAATATCAGAGAAGGAAGGATTACAAATTTGGGTCCCGGGATGATAATTCTAACACCTTGGTCCCCACAGTCTTGCTACAGCTCTCATGAATCAGTCATCAGGTCCTTTTGATTACCTGTAGATATTTCTGGGGATGTTATTGTAATACAGGTTTCACATCTGTAAACTGGGACCTCTGGTCCAGCAACATGCGTGATCCAGTAGGACCATGGATGTTCCAGTATTAGAGACTTCTGGCATGCTGCAGGGTGGTGGTGGATGGGAGCCTGGCGTGCTGCAGCAGGGAAAGACTGGCGCAATGCAGCAGAGGGCTGGGAACATCAGTGTTTGTGGTGTGGTGTGGTGTGGTGGTGTTTTGTTTGTAGACAGCCAAGAGAAACTGAGTTCTGCTTTTTGCAGGACTGAAATTCTAATGCAAAGTTAGTAAGTTCTAAGATTGTGTAGTTGCTTATTTCTCTGTAGGACATTGTTTTGAAAGACGGAAAAACAGAACGATTAAAGCTGGAACTTGAACAAAAAGATGCAGAAATTCATCAACTGAAAAGCATCATCGTTCAATGGGAGGTATGCAGTTGATAACTTTTCCAAGTATTGAACAAAGTCTGATTTCACTTTTTACCCATTTGATCAAGCCAAAACATGGCTAGTCTGAAAGGGTACTTTGTGCTGGCCACAAAGATCTTACCTTTCCAGAACATCTGTAATACCAGATAGATTTACTTTTCTTATGTCACAAGGAGGAAGGCGAAAATTTGTTCCTCTTGGTTTCTGAGGACAGGACATGGAGTAATGGGCTTAAAGTGCAGCAGGGGAGGTTTAGATTGGACATTAGGAAAACATTCCTAACTGTCAGGGTGGTCAAATATTGGAATAAATTGCCAAGGGAGGTGGTGGAATCTCCCTCTCTGGAGATATTTAAGAACAGGTTAGATAGACATCTGTCAGGGATGGTGTAGGTGGAGCTTGGTCCTGCCTTGAGGGCGGGGGGCTGGACTCGATGACCTCTTGAGGTCCCTTCCAGTCCTATTATTCTATGATTCTATAAGAAAGTCACTTCCCAAGGAATAAATATTTATCAATATTTGCATGCCCACATATCACTTGTTTCACAGAGGTTGTCATTTTGTTATCCATCAAGATTGTACGCCAATCTGAAATGCCTAACAAAAAAAAACAGTATATGCTTCTCCAGACAGAAGCAAAACAGTTTAGAGCTGCAGCCTTTAATTAGAGCTTTCCGTCTGTTGTGCCCCTTCTCCCAACATATGAGGAAGATTTCAAAACAATATAGAGGAAGTCCCCGGGTTACATCAATCCGACTTACGTCGGATCAAGGAGACCTGGGGAGGGGGGAGGCAGGCGGGGAGATTTAAAGGGGAATCCGCCTCCGCCGTTAAACACCCAGCCCTGCGCTGGGCTGCGGCCTCCGGGCGCTGCAGCGGCCGGTCGGGGCGCACGGGGCACGCTTGGCCCCAGCCCCAGAGTCCAGCCCTGGGGCAGGCGGGGGAAGGGGATGCGAAGCGCCGCCGGGGCCGCTTTAAAAAACTCCCCGCGCCGAGGCCGGCAGGCGACGGGTTAAATTTTTCACCCGCCAACATTTTTGTTGCCGCTGGGGTCCTGCGCCGTAGAATCCCCTGGCTGCGGAGCCTGGCGTGCGTCGCTCGCGGGGAATGTTCCACCCCTTCCCCTGCTCTCCCTGGGGCTGCGGCGCTTCGCCTCCAAAGGCTGCCCCGGCACCTCTGCTTGCAGCGAAAGGTTAACTCTGCACCTGCTGACATTTTACCTGTTCCCCTCCCCCCCTTCCTCCGTGCTTTTCCTGCTAATAATTTCGTGTGTAAGGGAGATCGTCTGTGCCCCCCACCCCCGCTTCTGCACAGCTCCGTGGAGGAGCCTCCGGGGGTGGGGTGTTGGAAGGGGATTGCTGTGTGCGCAGCTCTTTCCTGTGCACCGCCTGACGGGTTAAATTTTTCACCCGCCAACATTTTTGTTGCCGCTGGGGTCCTGCGCCGTAGAATCCCCTGGCTGCGGAGCCTGGCGTGCGTCGCTCGCGGGGAATGTTCCACCCCTTCCCCTGCTCTCCCTGGGGCTGCGGCGCTTCGCCTCCAAAGGCTGCCCCGGCACCTCTGCTTGCAGCGAAAGGTTAACTCTGCACCTGCTGACATTTTACCTGTTCCCCTCCCCCCCTTCCTCCGTGCTTTTCCTGCTAATAATTTCGTGTGTAAGGGAGATCGTCTGTGCCCCCCACCCCCGCTTCTGCACAGCTCCGTGGAGGAGCCTCCGGGGGTGGGGTGTTGGAAGGGGATTGCTGTGTGCGCAGCTCTTTCCTGTGCACCGCCTGCCGGGCTCCCGCACGGCTGCACAAAGATCAGCAGTAGAGGCCCTTGCTTGCCTTTAAATGCAGCAGCTTGAAATTTAAGGTGTCCCAGAGCCATGTTTATCCGCAGCCCTCAGCACTACACTCAATGGAGAAATGCTCGTTGCAGTTTTCACCCTGTAGATATCCCTCACTTGTGTTGCTATTCCCTGTCCTTGGGTTTATTTTGGGTAGGTACCTGTTCCTGTTCCGAGATGTGCCCCTGACAGGCGATTCAGCCGGTGCTGCCCAGGAGGCGGGAGGTGGCGACAGTGGGGGAGGCACCCCACCCCGCCAGCTTTGGGTCCATTGGCTCCGCGGACGCCCCTGGGCAGCTCCCCTGTCGGCTGGAAGGAGGGTCTTGAGAATAAAGCTTGAGAATAAAGGACTGAGGGAAGTGAGGTGTGGGAGAATAAAACTGAGCTCTTGAGAAATGTTTGGGTAGAGTTTCCCCTACAATATGTACCAGTTCCGACTTACGGTACATACAAAGTCAACTTAAGAACAAACCTACAGTCCCTATCTTGTACGTAACCCGGGGACTGCCTGTACAGTACAGAAGTTGCTCCCTCACTAAACCCTTTAGAGTGCCTGGATGCTAAACTAGATAGGAAAATTACTAATGTTGCTGCCTTGGAAAATCTTCGTGTCAAAAGGCTATAGAACAGGGCTACTCATCACGCAGTCTCTGGCATTTGTTTGCGGCCTGTGGTGCTGTTTGGGTTTATGCAGGGCTCAATGCACGACCGGCGGGTGGGATACTTTGAACGTGGCCTCCACTGGGAACTTACTCCACAATGGTGAGGCATCTCCCAGCTGGATGATCATTGAAAGACACAAGCAGACAGGCTGGCTGGAACAGATGGGTACAGGGTGTCAGCGTTTCCAGCCCCCAGGGAGAAGGTTCCGGAAGCACTCGGGCATTGTGGGAGGTACTTTGTATTCATGCCCATTAGTGTGAAAAGCTATTTGCATATATTTGCATCTTTATGCAACCTCAATTAAGTTGTGGCCCTCTGCATGTGTTGTATTATTGTGGCCCCCAGGGCTTCCAAAGTTGAGTAGCCCTGCTATAGAAAATGCACTAAAGCACCAGATCCAACTTCTTATTGATCGCGTTATTTTTGTTCATTCTTGGGAGCAGTGAACATAAGTACAAGGGTGTTTAGTTTATGTGAATAAAAACTAATAAATATGCAGTATGCATAACTTAACCTTGGGTACAAAACAGTTGAACTCTGTATAAACAGAATTAAATGTTGATATTAGTGAATTCCTAATCAGAACTTGTCTAAAATGTTGAATGTGACTTCAACTTGCTGCAAAATAGGAAACAAGTCTTTTGGTTAACAGCTGCTGTCTTGTGTCAGAGCTGGGCTCATAGATGAAATTTATTGAAATGGAAAATCACATCTATTTGATCGTGCTCCTAGAGTATGGTTGGCAGAATAATGCAGTCTTGTTAAATGCTTCATTTTAAGTGATGCAATGCGTTAGTTTCTATTTGATAGTTTTGTATGCTTATTGGGCATTGAAGTACATAGAAAGCTTTTACTAGATGTAAGCCTAGAAGAATTCATTACTGTGACAATTAAATTCACTTTTATTGGCCTTTTGGTTCTATAAATGTTGCTTTTAAAGTATGACTTGGTAGTAGAGATGGCTTGGCATTCCAGTATGTTTTCTTGGAGTGGTTTAAACTTATCTACCCACCCCTTTTCAGTACTGGCATTTGCTCTGTTTTTCATGCCGCTGCCATGTAATTAAATCAGCATTCCATTAGCACAGTGTTCCTTCTTTGAGTAGTGTCCCTGTGGGTGTTCCACCTTAGGTGCACCATTGCTGCAGCACTGTGGGTGTTCCACCTTAGGTGCACCATTATGCAGCACCCATGGTCGGCAGATTCTTAGTAGCAGTGCCTCTCTAGTTGGCTGTGCACGTGGAACGCTGGCATGTGACAGTTGGAACTATCACTCTGCGCACACAGACATCTGCCCCCTCCATTCTTTTCTGACCGCCGCTGGCTTAGGTTGCATAGAGCAGTTGCTCTCTTTTCCCTTATACCTATTAGCTTAGATACATTACTAATCTTTAGGTTACTCTCTAGTTTTAGTGTTAGTTAGTTATCTCCTTCTCTGCAGTTACAAAAAAAAAGAAGAGGAAAGACTGGGAACAGGGGAACTCCCTCCCTGCTCTCTGCTTCACAGGAGCCTTGGTTTATACACCACAGTCTCACAGCAGGCTCCAAGCGATAAGCAAACTACATGAAATTGACAAGACTCAAGAGCCATCACTGAACAAACCAAGATTCTGCCCCCGCATCCCCCACTCATGTCCCCTGGGGAGGCTCATGCTTAAGGGGCAACCATTCTTTTAAGCCCCAGGGATCAAGACAGGGTGCAAACGCTCAGGAGGAGGTACCACCTCTCAGTGGGCTGACTCCCCACTGAGGAACTCTTGGCAATAACAAGTTTGTCTCTGCGCCTGGTGCAGTTAAGGCACTGGAGAAACACACAGGGAATGGGGCCGGCAAACACAAAAGCCGGGACTCCAAACAGGAGGTATGACTTTCCTTCCCCAAGCCAAGCGTGGAGCTGAACACACTATCAGCAGCACCGGCAGAAGCGCTGTCAGCGGCAGCACCATGTGCTTCAACATAACCACTTAAAGAGTCAGCACCGGCTAAACGTGCAGAAGAATCCATCTCTGGCTCAAACTTCAATGCCAGTGCTGACAGTATAAATACCCTGGTGCCTGTCCTGTTTCCCCCAACTCAACTGCCTCAGTTTACCTCTGCAGGGGAGTTGATGGTGACTTCAGTACCAAGGATGCCACAATGTGAGACAGATGTCACCCCAGATATATCTAGAGTTAGTCCCTCTTCAACACCAGCTTCAGCGCCTCCCTTTATGAGTAACCTGTACACACACCCAGATGTCGTTGCCCAAGCCAATGCAACAAGCAACAACAACGGCTCCCACCACCTATACCACCCCACTGTGGGTAACTTACACAATACAACAGCCTCAGCAGTTGCAACTACCACAGATGCCAAACTTTAGGTTCTCCCCGCTCAGTCACCTGATCATTCCACCTTCTCAGATGATGGCGAGAAAATGGACATCTCAAGGGCCTGGACACTGCTTTGTAGTAACCTAAGGTGGAGCACCCATGAGGACACTCCTCGAATAAGGAGGGATGGTTAATCACATTGTGTGGTATCTGGAGTTCTTCGAGATGGTTGTCCCCGTGGGTGTGCCACCTTAGGTGTGCCAGCATTGCTGCGCCCATGGTCAGCAGATTCTTAGTAGCAGTGCCCCTCCAGTTGGCTGTGCATGCGCAACACTGGCATGTGACAGTTGGAACTATCACCCCATGCGCACAGTCATCTGCCTCCTTCTCTGACCTGGACATAATTGGATCCAAAGCCTAGGGGAGGAGAGTGGATGGTGGAGCACCCACGGGGACAACCATCTGGAAGAACTCCAGTTACTATATAAACCTTCCTGTATTGTGCAATGTGAATTTAACATGAGGGATGAGATTGGTGTGAGAGACATAGTAGCTTGCCACCAGCTTTAAGATACCTTATTAAGTTTCTTGAAGGCTAGAGAGAGCAATATAGGGCACCA